CCCCAGTTGCCCCCACCGCCCTGCGCTCCACATGCTCCGCTGCGTCCAACTGACCTTTGCCGTTTTCCTCCCACTGCTGATGCCCGGCCTGACCCTACAGTATGCGAGGCAGTTGCTGGCCACACCAGGCCTTCTTCCTGAGGCCACTTGCACCATTCTCCAAATCGCATGTCCCATTCCTTCTCCAAATTGCGCATCCCATTCTTTTGATCCTTTGGAAACCTCCTGGTCTTCCCCAGGTCTCGTGAGAGTGGGCATGTGATTGGGAGAAGGAATGGGTTGTGCGATTTGGAGAATGAGGTCTTTCAAATCACTATGAGAACAGAGTTCCTGCCTTCTCCAACTAGCACGTGCATTCTTATTGGTCAGATTGTTACCTGACATATTCCCAACATAATACTCAGTTGTGGCTGCTCCTTATTGTCCTGAACGGATTTGAATTAGCAAATTATTGTCTTCATAGATGCCTTTGCACATAGGCAGCTTGTACAGAATTCTAGTTTATGCTCACTTTATGAGGTTGAGGTCAGTTTCTTAATTGGATGCTGTTTACTGAACTTTGTTCCTATAGTTGTGACATGAAAGGTAGACTTTGGGATTCAGATTGTTAATACTACTTTCATACACAATGGTGTGCATGGCCAAGATTTTCTTTAATGGGAAAAAGGCTTATTTTAAGACTTTATAATGATACTGATATGGTATTCTTAAAAATCGTTAGTATCTGGAATAATTTGAATGTAATAGTAACTTGTTACGATAGATGTTTTAGGTCATAAATCCTTGCTGTTTGAAATTGTGGCAGATTGTATTCCTAGTTTATCCTTGCTTTTTGCCAATCTCAAAATGAATGTACAGTTTCCTTAAAGATGCTACACAAACCTTACATGGATGCACACAGATGATGTTGCCTACAAGATTCATTATATAGTTCTAGAGGACATTAATCTATTTCCTCAGTGAATTTAAAATTTTCTTGAGTCAGCTCTTTGCAATATTAAATAAATTCTCCCATGACGTATTTATGCTTCTCTCTCATTTCTGGAAGTGCCGCATTATCTCCTTAGTTTTTTTACAGCGTCCCTTAGTACGTAATGTTTTGGGAGCACTGAATGTGGGTAATACCTTTAGTATTGGCATTAATTGAGGGGACTTTTTCACCATCTCATGGCATTCATATTTTATTGGTTCCTATGCAAATGTACAGAACTAATTTTGCTGAAGGCATATGCAAAGCGAAAAAGCATGTTTCAAACTAGCTCTGTGTGTGTATGTGTACACACACACACACACACATCCTTACATATACTACTTGGCTTAGGAAAACCACAGCATAAATCTTTTAGAAATTCATAGACCAAAATATTTTGCTCTTGTTGCTAAGACACAAAAAGGAAATTTGCATTCTTGGTGAAAAGTATATCTGTGCCTGGATTAGTGAAAAAAAATATGAGTGAGATATTTTAAAAATTATACTGGCAAGAAAAGAACTAATGGCCACATACTTACTAGAAGGTAATACTGCAATTAATATGTATCAGGTATTAATAGCAAGAAATAGAAAATCTGGGGTTTTTTTATAAAATATAAAAAGTTGCCTGATTATGACTTACTGTAACACCGAACTATGATTTAATGCTACATATAGATCTTAGCTTTTTATTTTCTTTTATATATTGAGATCAGAAGTATTTGTTTCTTATTCAGTTAATTCCAGCTTAGCATTAGGATCAGACAAACAATCTTAATTATGATTTATTGAAACAAGTCAGCTTCATTTCCTATAGATAACATTGGTCTCCTTAGAAAAATAAAGTTGTCTAATTTTAGTTTCATGGGTCAGACATTAACACTGAATTCTAATCAGACTGGAAATAAAAGCTTTAAAGTTCTTCAGAGTCATACTGAAGGATCAGGGATATAAATAAGGTTCATCAGTATTTAATTACATACCTTACATAATTAGTATTTGCAACTTTCTTTTGCTGAAATATATTTTGATGATAAAAGGCTTAAAGGCAAAATACCCTAGATACATCTTTATGAATTCAGCCATACGGTCCAATACATTTTTGCTTATAATCAAGATTTATCTCTTCACTGAAGCCCCTGAGACATGAATGTTAACTTTTCTGACTTGCTTCCCTTTTTTTCCATCTCTGTACAGTTTTGAATGTGATAAACATTTTCAGTTTGTAGAACTTTGCACTGAGAATCTCTTTAGATTTACCGTTCTGTAAAATGTTATGCTACACTTATTAAAATACTGATTGACCTTAATATGGAAGAACTAGTTGTGAAGCATTTATTAATTTATTTGCATAAATGCATGCATGCAGTTTATTTACTATTTCAGTCCTCATGGACTCTAGGCAGTTTACTCATTTGAAAACAATAAGAATAAAAATACATTTTAAAACTTCAGTAACAAAAATATAACGTTATATCAAATAATCAAAATATATACATCATACACACAAACATAAACACACAAATACATATAAGCACCTTTGGCTCTGCAATACATCCCAAAGGTCTCTGGAAAAGTGAAACATTCCATGATAATCACTGAGTTCTTTAGAAATCAAAGGTAGTTATTTGACAGGGTTAAATCTCTTGAGTTGTGTTCAACTCTTGGTCACTGCATTCATGCATTTTTTTGGAAACATTACAGCAGTAGTTTGCTATAGCCTCCTTCTGCAATGTTTCTGTGATTTTTCAGTCTAGCCAACATCCCTAGAGTTCCCAAGTAGTCTCCCCGCTCTCCGCAAATGGTAATCAGGGCTGACTTTGCTTAGCTTTCAAGATTAGCCAAGTTCATACTGAAGTACAGTATAAACAGTATAAACTATTTTATAACTTTTAATTGTATTTCTGATTTTAGTGTATTGTATTGTATTGTATTGTAAGCCGCCCAGAGTCCCCCATTGTGGGGAGAGGGGAAAAGTCTATTAAATAATAATAATAATAATAATAATAATAAATTATGCACAGTTTGGGGACCTTATATTCAGTAGTATTCATATGATACTTGTGAAGAACTTTTCAGGGAGTAGGGGTTAGGTTACTGAAAACTAATTAAATGAAATATTGAAAATTTTTACCCAATTTTATGACGCTTATATTTACTTTGTCTTCTGTTACTTTTTTACCTCTTTTTTTCTTATTATTTCTTGTCTTTTTTCTTTCTTTTTCCTTTTCTCAAAGATACTTAATAGAAGTATAATTTTTAAAAAAATTGCTATATACTAAGAGATAGATAGTTCATGGCACATGGGCCAGTGTTGAACTCTGAACCCCATTTTGGCCCCCAATCTGATAACAAACCACTGAGTAATAGTGACCAATCTTGGTTTTTGTTTTTCAAAGGAACTAAAGGTAATGGGTGTGTGAGTTCAAGATTTAAGTCCTGAATCTCTCTGGGGAAATTTGAAATATTTTCTACTCCTTAGACATCCACCCCCACCACAAAAAAAAAAAAAAATGCTTATACTGCCTCATGTAGCTGGTGTAATTTTGACTACACATCCATGAATATGGGAGGATCTGTATTAGAAATAGGAGGACTGTTGAAGTTTCAAGACAGTGTGAATGTCCTACATTTGACTGTTACATAAATGGATTGATGAATGATGTCCCTGCCTTATCTTTTGACTTTTCATTAAAGGCTTCTAACATTCTATAATCTTCTATATAAAATTTCTTGGCTTTGATGATTTCCATGTATAAATAATCGAGGCAATCTTTATTTTACTATTTGTGTTCCATCTAGGCTTTCAGAGGATAGATTTTATTGCTTTCAGTGAAAGCACAAAGGTCCTGCAGGAAAAAGGTTTGCTCTGCACTGAACCCAGTTATATTTTGATAGCTTCAAATGTATGCAGGAAAATACTGTATAAATAGCAGAACAGGAAATTCCACTTGATCCAACACTAATTGTCATTTTTGGCTTCACTATAAGGCAGTTGTTAACTTAGCATATTTACATATGGGTTAGTTGCTATCCTATTCATACATAGTATTATGGCTGACATAAATTACTTGGAGTTATGTTATACTTAAATGTGTTTTCCATAGTAAAATAAATATATATGGCATTCTGGATTAAAAAATAAGAAATATTCGAATATTCAAATATTTTTTTATAAATATATGATATTAGAAGTAAAATGGCAGTGTAGTCTTTTTTTAACCATCTTTTCCCCAATTTTCCTCCAATTTTTTCCCAATTCCGGACATCAACAGTAATTACTATTTTACTTTCTGACTCCAGTCACTGTTTTTGTCTCTTTTATCAACATAACAAACTGTTTTTGTTTTCTTCCAATGAGCCTCCCACTATAACTTCAATATTTATCTCCTTGATTCTCACATTTGGATTTTGCTCTTTGCAGTTTACAAGTGACGTTTGGGAGGAAAAATGAATAGGTCCAACCTGTAGTGTTGTTTGGAATTCTGCTAGTATGCTAGATAATTGATATTAACCAGAAAACCTGCCAGTTTCTCTTCTTGTCCACTCACGACTGATACAACTCTTTCTCCAGAGAGGGTTTATAATTATCCTGATATTCTTTTACTTCTGAAATACTCTCATACATTTCTGAAATCAAGGCTGCAGTGTCTGCCATAATAGGCAGGATTTTCCACCTCCAATCCCCACTTAATAAGTTTTTGCCCAGCATTCAGCTGTCGGTCAACATTCTATGCATTGTAGAGGCATAAGATGTCAGCTTTAAAATTACCACTATACTTGGAGTTCTTTATCTAACACTAGGATGAGATCTGCATTGCCTTTGGAGGTGAGAGTGGAAGTCTTTAATTTCTGGATAACATACAGAACAGCCAGTTTCAGGTTTTTTATTACTAGTTGCTAAATAAATGTGCAGCAATTGACTCTCTGTTTTTTGCTTTTATAGAATTTTGCAGTACAGATATCTTAATACATGATCTGTAACTACAGTCATTATATAGAGATTATGATTTATTTTCTCTCACTGCAGCCTCACACAGAATCTGTCAGTCCAACAGTGTTGCCACCCTCAGCTTTACCGTTAGAATTGCTAAACAATGCTGTTGCTGCATTTAGCACCGTAGAAGAACTTATCAGGTACCTTGAGCCTGACAGATGGCAGTTAGATTTGGAAGACCTGTACAAACCAACTTGGCACCTTCTCGGAAAAGCATACATTCATGGCAGAAAATCAAGAGGTAAAGTTCCTAATTCTTTCTCTCACTTTCTCTTGATCCTTTTATTGAGCATCCAAAGCTCTTGAAAAAGCTCACCAAATCAAGCATTTTTGAAACCATGAGTTGATTGCATATGTATGTAAAGTGATTATTTTCAAGTTGTTTACTGCTTTCCGAATGTAGAGTAAGAATGTAATGGCAGCTGGCCATTCCCTAAGTTATCATCTGGGCTAATAAATGTTAGTGAATTTATTTACCAGCCCAGAAGATAACTACGTTTGTTTCAGTGTCAGCAGGCTTGGGGATCTCAGAGAAATGGAGAACTGGTGAGATGGCTACACTGTACATAATATCGAGATGCTCTCTCCTAGTCTTTTAAATTAATATTTTTTTCTTACAATATTTTTAATGTTTGCTTTTTATGGCCTATTTTTACTGTACACTGCCCACAGTTATGTATGTGAGATGGGTGACTATGAAAATGTGATAAATAAAAGAAACATGTTTATCTTCATTTCAGGGATGGTGAAGGTCACAACATTTTCAATGCTCTGTCACTACAATTAATAGTTATTGTCATGGTTACCCATACCTTTTAATGTCAGTGCTTTAGCCAGGAGAAAAGAGCCCTTAAGTATTTTAGAAGTGCAAAGTCCCTGTTTGTTCAAACTGCCAGCTAATAGATTTCTATCCTGACACTCCTTGTCTAACCTGTTTTGCCACTGACTTCTTTGTATGCTTTAGGATTTCAAAAATCCATGGAGTATACATGTTTTAAGCTGGAAACCTGTGGCCCTTACTCAGAAATTAACCCATATAAATCAATAGAGTAGAAGCTGAGTAGAAGCTGCTGTGGAATAAGTACAATCCAGCAGTTGTCTCTTTATACTCTTAAATGTAATTAAAAAAACAAGAGTATTCCTCTGGCTAGTAAAAGAAACTTTCTAAGAGATGGAACGTGAGGCACAGCTGCACTGACCCTTGAGGGCAGATTTGTTCCACTGTTTCTCTTCCATTTTATTCAGTCAGGATTCATGTCATTCAAGACATTAGGCAAGTACACTGTTGAATCAGTAGGGCAGATTTCATGTTAAAACCTGTCCCTTATCTGCATGCTGCACCGGAAAAAAGTTTCCTTTTGGTTGCCTTTAAAATTGGCTTTATATGTTGGGATACTGCTGCTTACTTACAGTGAAGACCTGTGAATGTCTGCTTAGAAGTAGATGTCACTCTGTTCCCAGAGGCTTGCTTCCTGGTGTGAATATAAAAATGCAGCCTTAATGCATTTGATAATTATAGTCCATGAAACAGGCAACACATACAAAGTTAAATAGTTCTGTGGAGAAACAGTTGTATTCAAATGAAATTTATAATCCCTAAACTTAAAGTACTACCCTAAATTTAAAGTATTAAAATATTACCCTAAACTTAATCCCTAAACTTAAACTATCACCAGGAACCTTCTTAAATGAAGAATGAGCTAATCTTTCCAAACTCAATTTCAGATGTCTGAAACACAGTATAAAGAAATAACTGTCATCTTAGTTGCACCTTTTTTCTAATTTCTGCTGGTGTTCTTGAGCATTTAAAAAAAGAAAAGTGTGATGTCTTTCTGATTAAAGTATTGCTGTTTGTTGAATATGACTGTTTCAGATATGTGCATGTATTTATGTAGGGAGAGACTTCGCATTCTTGCCAAATGAAGCATGGGCATTACATTCTAAAAAGACCAACTCTGACAAAATAATGGTTTTCCCATCAACAACTTCCAAAAGAAAACAATATTGAACTACATTTTTAAAAGTATTTGAATAAGACACTAAAGTAGAATTGCCACTGAATAAACATATCACAGAATTGTCACAGACATCTTAAAGGACCACCCTCAGACTGCATTACCAAGTCTGTAATGTAATAGCCTAAAGCAGAAAATGTGCCCCATTGAGATGACATGGTATTCACTGCTGACATGCAGAATTATTATAGAAATGAAAAATTCATGGTTTTTTTTTATTATTATTATTTTGTGGTACCTTTTAAAAAATCACACTGGAAGGCATAGTCCCTGGGGCTTACAAATACTGATAATTTCTTAGAAAGTACAATGTCAAATATAATATTGAAAGTTATTTGGTATATAACTTCTTAGCAATTCTTGTGTAAGCAATATAAAACGGACTGAATAGTAGATTCTGGTAAGAGTGTTACTTAACATGGTTGTGTATTCATTGTAAATACTTTAGATTTTGATGAATAATCTCTGTAAAAGTCCAACTTTTCAAATAATTGTTAAAATTAAAGGTTTCCATTCTTTAAAAAAATGGAAGAAAATATTAATGTTTTTATTTCAGTTTGATTTTTAAAAAAGCAGCTATTTGGTTTTCTTTGAAATATTATAAATGCATTATATAATACAGAGATAAGTAATTATATACTTTGTGAGAGACTCCAAGTTAATCTCTTGTATGCTTTCAAGTTAGGATGTCTGGAATTTGGTCAGATTTTAGCATCTTAGAAGGACATGGCCAAATTAAATGAGTATATCATCTCTTGCAATATATTTTAGAAGAAAATATAACTGTTCTTAATATTTCATAGTTAAAAAGCCATGCCTTTTATTTTCCTATTTCTGGATGTTAGTGGAACTCAAATATTTTTCCCAAGGTAACAGTCCTGACCTTAGGAATTAATCAGTGCCTGTTTTCGCCTTTAACTGCCACTTTTAATGTGGGAAGCAATTCTTGCCCTTTGTTATAAGATAGAAGCTTTATGTTTGAAATAAAAGCAGAATTTGTACTGGCTAATTTGATAGCCTCATCAAAATTCAACTGCATGCAGATAAGCAGAACGTTTGAATATCAGTAAAAAAGCAACTTGTTACTTCATTGACATAAAAATCATTATAAGTAATAAGCTGCATGGTATCCAAAGCAGTAGTGGGTCCCCATATTGGACTTTTGAATAGCAATTCTAATTACCTCCCTTTCTGCCAAAACCTTTCTTTTTGAAACACTGGTACACGTCCAGCAAATTTATCCTCACTAAAGTTGTTTTGTATTCCACTTGAAGAGTTTTGTTTGTAGTCTTCAAAGTTTGCGAGAACCATTTTTGTTTAAACTCAACTAGTATGAACATTTCCCTATTTGGGTTGGAATTGGTTTCCAGGTAGTAGTTCTGAATCATAAAGTTGCATTGCCATTGCAAACAATCCTGTTTTTTTTTTTAAAGTTATTTGACTAGCATGTCAAACTTGATGAATGAATGAGAGCCAGTTCAAAGGGTTTTTAAATTTTCTCAAAATAATAGATTTTTCAATTGAGTTTCCTTCATAGAACTATTTAACCTTTTCTCTGGTTAAGTAAACATTTTAAAGGAATATACTGTATATACTGATACACAAAGCTAGCATTATGTCCTGGAAATTCTTAACAGCATATTATGGGTAAGACACATATCAGAAAGATAGAAAGGATAAAGGATTTTTTTTTTCACTTCAAAGACTTGTTCAAGCACTTTGTGAAACTGCTGGTCACTTTCCCATGTTAAGTTCAGTGCTGCATAAACATATATTTTGCAGTACAGTACATTTTGATGAAGCATAAAATCTAATTTGCTAATCCAGATATTTTAATATAGAATCAATAATGGAATAAAACACTGAGGTTATTGTCCTTTAATAAATTTATATTCCTAAAAAATCTAATTAAAAAGTAGAAATAAAATAGGACACAAAATGATCAATGCCACATAGAATCATGAGATTAAAACAGCTTGTTCTTTACCAGCAGCAAAGCGCTCACATTCTACTGAACGAGGAACAGGTTTTCTCCAGGAACCCACATTTTAAAGTGTGTTTTGAAACCTGATGTCCAGTTAAAATCTACAAACTTGTATATTTGCTTCTTGTAGCCTTAGGTTAGCGGAACTGAAGTCTAACATATTTGGACGACATCAGATTAGGCTATCTAAGGAAAGGGAAGGGAAAGGAACATTCATTTTTGACTGGCCATCAATAATCTTGAAGTTCTTTCTTCCCAGTATAATACCTATCCACATAAACATCAGAAGGTAAATAGATACTTACGGTCAGCCACTGACATATTAATTTTATTAGGTAGGTTCTTAACTTAGAAAAACGTTATAATTGTGTAAGCTTTATATTGAAATTCACTATTTCACTAAGCCATTGAAAAGCCTGTTGGCATGGTAGGTTCTCTTAAAAAATATTTGCATGATTCTTGTTTCTATATTATTTTTCTGAAAGGATTTGATGAACAAATTACAATAAACATTGGCTTCAAAATTGTTCAGTTGTAGATTTGAATCTTCTGAAGGAGGAAGTAAGAATGTATAGCTGTACTCCACGCAACTTCTCAGTGTCAGTACGAGAGGAATTAAAACGAACAGACACCATTTTTTGGCCACTTTGTTTGCTGGTTAAACGCTGCGGTGGAAATTGCGCCTGTTGTCAACATTCTTGCAGTGAATGCCAATGTGTCCCTACCAAAGTCACCAAAAAATATCATGAGGTATAGTATTAAAAAAAAAAAAAAGAATTGGGGCCAAGGAAAACTGTAGTAATAGATTAAGATTAACAAACTGTCATGTTTGGATGGCAGTATCTGAGATTTTATCTTACAAATAGTTTTTTGAGACAGTTTTTCTTGTCTAGCAGAAAAGCTGGGTACACAGGGGCACTTTAAGAAGAACTCCTTTATCCTTTTAACCATTGTTACTATCAGCTGCTAGTTTACTAGGGAAATAATAGGTGAATAATGAACAGAAGCAACTATAGTCATCATCTGTATTACTCACATGTGCATTTTCAGGGGCCAAGGATTTGATGGATGTCTACCCATCTTGATTTCTTTTCCCTGAACTAGGATAAGCTTTTGCTTGTAGTTTAGTTCAATATTAAGTACTAATTGGGAACTCCAGTTTATGAGGATTAGAACTTTTCAGATGTTATACTGATTTATATTTACAAGTGTTGGAACAAAGAAACAGAAGCCTGATTCTGATATGGCTTTCATAAATATTTAGTAAACAATTTGTGAGCCAAGATATATAGGGTTATGCATAAATCAAAAAGTTGCAGGATGAACATGTACCTGTCAGGGACAAATATTGATTTCTAATCATAGGAGTAGATTTTACTTAATTATTTGCTTATTTTAGTAGCATTTAAAATGACAGTTGAACTGTTCCCTTGCAGGTCCTGCAGCTGAAGCCCAGAAGTGGTGTAAGAGGATTGCATAAATCTCTGACAGATGTACCTTTGGATCATCATGAGGAATGTGACTGTGTGTGTAAAGGGAATACAGAAGGATAAAAGGAACTTCTTTCTTTACAGCACATTGAATTAGTGGCTTATTCTGTTCTGGGTTTGTGCATTAATCTCCTTCCATAATCTCAGTTGTTTCCTTTGAGAATCTTCAGTGTTCAAGATTGACGGTTCTGGGGAGATGAAGAGAGAAGAAATGAAACTGGGATTATGTATGCAATGTAACAGCACATGAAAGCCCACTAAAACTATGAGCAGAAGGCATTAATGAGGATTTTTTTCCTCCACCTTGATATAAATATATAATATCATCTCTCTTGCTCATCCTGAATTTTAAAAGATTTAAGTTTAGAAATGCTCAAAGCCTGAACTCTTCTAGTAGCCTTCCTTCAGCAGGTCAGTTACTTCTGGTTTACCGTTCTAAACATCTGGAATCTCACTTCACTTATTGCAGTAACTCCTATACGTCCTAAATTAAAGTGTTAATTGCTTACAAACTGTGTTATTCTGAGTTAAACTTTATTTTTCACTTACACATGTGAAAAAGACTGAACACTTTTCCAGGTTCCTGTCGTTTAGCAAAAGTGCATGGTCAGTATATGTGAGCAAGGAGGAAAAGATTGAAATCAATGAAGTGTCTTTATTCCTCCCACTAGTGCCTTCAAGTATCTTTTTTGTTTGTTTATATTTTTATTGTGTACATTTTTATACTCTCTTTGACGGCATAACAATTGCTTTTCTAATCTTGTTAAATATATCTATTTTTTACCAAAGGTATTTAATTTCCTTTGTATTTACAACCTAGAAAAAATTGTATTTTAGTTCTGTAAGACCTTGGAGTCAGCGTTACAGGAAGAGGATAGAAAGAATTACTGGTTGTAGAAGACAAGGAATGTAGTGGTGCATGTGCACATAGAAAGATAAAGCAAATGAAAATATCAATCTGACTTTACAATTGTATGTAAGTAGATTCATGATGCTGGGATAAGAAGAAGGAACATAATAGTTGTTTTAACCCTTTTTATAATCTAGTGCCTTGATCTAGAGAGAATGTCTGTGAGCATAGAAGCAGGCTTCAGCATGCATAAATAAGAAAATAAATACCGTTTTTTTGGATCAGAGATTACTGGCATGAATCTGATAAGCAACAGAATACTCATCAGACGATAGCTGTCAGCCCACATTGCACTGGCTTGAATGGGTAGCATATCTGCACCTGCCCGTCCACATTCTGGCGGAATTACTTCTGCAGAAATTAGTTTTTATATGTGACCTGTGATAGACTGGGAAACAGGTACCTTCATGAAAAAATCATAAATTCCACGGATAACCCAGTGTGGTCTTGCCACCAAATTATATAATGTGTTGATTAAAAATACACACATATTTATTGCTACAGGTATAAGGGTTTTTAATATTATCATTGACAGTTGCTTCCTAATAAGGACAGTGGGTTTCCAGTATTTTAATGATGTATAATATAATTTTTGAAATGTGGTTTTGCTTATGTACAGTCTATATATAAACCAGTACATTTATCCCCTTCTTAGCCAAGAAGGGAAGAAGCAGTAAAATATATTGCTTGTAAAATACTTTTAAATTGTCTAATGTGGTTTTGTGTGTGTGTGTGTGTGTGTGTGTGTGTTTCTTTTTACTGTTTGGATTTATGTAATTCACAAAATAACTGTAATTATTGAGATAGAAAGAACTCACTATCCATAACTATCCATGGAAGGTAGTTCCCATTTAATTTTTAAAAGTATGATTTTTTCCTGTGGCATATGCTATCTAGCAATCTAATCTGTTCCATTTCAGTTATTACAGAAAATATATGGACAGTTGCATGCAAATATTTAGGCAATTCTGGTTAAATTGTATGTTGCATTGAATCCCTAAATGAACACAAGTTGACACAACCTCGACATGGGACAAAGATAAATATGACATCTTTCTGCAAATTTTGATGCATTCTTGCTATTTATATACAGTTGTTTACACATTCACAATAATAAAATAGTAAATATGATGGCAGAAGCTTGGACCCTTTCAGTCAGTACTTTGTAATACCCTCTTTGGCAGAAATAATAGTGTCCCAAGTTTCCTATGGCCTGTGGCCACCTTTCTATAGCCAGCTAAATGTCTGTTAGAATTTTTTATCAGTCTTCCTTGCCAAACCTTTCTAGCTCAGAAATATTCTTCGGTTTCCTTGCATGGAGTGTACAGTGCATTCGGAAAGTATTCAGACCCCCTTCACTTTCTTCAATTTTGTTATCTTGCAGCCTGATACTACAATCATTCAAATTCATTTTTTTCTCATTAATCTACACTCAGTACCCCATAATGACAAAGTGAAAACAGAATGTTAGAAATGTCTATAAATTTATTAAAAAGGAAAAATTGAAATATCACATGTAATTAAGTATTCAGACCTTTTACTCAGTACTTTGTTGAAACACCTTTCACAGCAATTACAGCTTTCTCATTAATCTACACTCAGTACCCCATAATGACAAAGTGAAAACAGAATGTTAGAAATGTCTATAAATTTATTAAAAAGGAAAAATTGAAATATCACATGTACTTAAGTATTCAGACCTTTTACTCAGTACTTTGTTGAAACACCTTTCACAGCAATTACAGCCTCGAGTCTTTTTTGGTATGACGCGACAAGCTTTGCACACCAGAAGAATTTTCTGCCATTCTTTGCAAATCCTCTCAAGCTCAATCAGGTTGGATGGGGAGCATCGGTGGACAGCCATTTCCAGGTCTCTCCAGTGATGTTCAATAGGGTTCAAGTCAGGGGTCTGGCTGGGCCACTCTAGGACATTCACAGAGGTGTCCCTAAGCCACTCCTGTGTTGTCTTAGCTGCATGCTTAGGATCATTGTCATGTTGGAAGGTGAACCTTCGGCCCAATCTGAGGTCCTGAGCGCTGTGGAACAGGTTTTCATTGAT